TTTTTTTTTTTTTACAGTGAACATATTGTAACAAGAAAAAAAATGCAAGCTATTAAACTGGGCAAGGTGACTTAACATTCCCTAAATAAATGAGTATTTTTTTGCAGCTAAAAGCCCATATTATATTTCAAATTTGACATCAAGAATTCAATGAAATGAAATCAGGATCATTTAAATAAGCAACAAAACATTAAAAATAAGGACTTTGGAGTCCATTTAGTGCAAGCCCTTTATTTCACAGCAGAAAGACCCTTTCCCCAGCGCTAATTCCAAAAGCCTTAAGTGCTGATCTCTGCATAGTTCCCTCTACCCCCATAAATGTACTCATTTATTCTTCAGACAAAATGATGCAACATACCTACATATTTGGAAACTAGAACACATTTTCCAAAGTGGAAGTAATCCAGATTGTGATCAAGAAACAACCAACAGTTAAGCTTTCAGTGGCAAAGCCTGGACATTCCAGCAGATGGGGATGGTACTATGCAGAATAAGACTTTCAAAATTTAAATGAAAATCACATTCTCTATTTTTAAAGGAGATAAAGAGCAGGAAACTTATTTGACTTTCAAAATTTCAATGAAAATCACATTCTCTATTTTTCAAGGGAAAAAAAAGAGCAGAAAACTTGTTTTTGAAGTCCAAGAGGAACTAGGCAACGTACAACTATCACCATATTCCTCAAAACAACCCCATGGAGAAGACAGGCATTACATCCATTTTACAAGCACTGAAGTCACGGCACAGAAGAGGTGAAGCAATCTGACCAAGGTCACACAGCTAAGCACCCAGATCCCATTCAAAACCCAAGCCCTTACCCCACCATGCCCTTTATACAATTAAATTGTAAAATTCCATTTTGTTTAAAAGAAAAAAAAAATATTAGCGAGGTGCAGTGGCTCATGACTGTAATTCCAGCACTTTGGGAGACTGAGGTGCGCAGATTACCTGAGGTCAGGAGTTCGAGACCAGCATGACCAACATGGAGAAACCCCATTTCTACTAAAAATAGAAAATTAGCCAGGTGTGGTGGTGCATGCCTGTGATCCCAGCTACTCAGAAGGCTGAGGCAGGAGAATCACTTGAATCCAGGAGGCGGAGGTTTCGGTGAGCCAAGATTGAGCCACTGCATTCCAGCTTGGGCAACATGAGCAAAACTCCATCTCAAAAAGGTATACAAATACAAGTAAAAAATAAACAACGATCACTGTCACATCTCTGTAGCATTCCTCGTCCTCAATCCTACTCTCTTCTCTGAACAGTTTGAGATACTCCTTTTATAACATTTTCGATGCATCTGTGAACACTGTTACCAACACTGGTACTATTCAACTTTAAGTTCTGCCAATATGATAGATTAAAATATGTGCTACTTAATAAATGAGAATCTTGAGTGTCAGTACTAGCCAGGCAACCAGGGTATGATAAGAAAAAAAGAAAAACAGCTACAGCTCTTGTCTTCTTGGGCTTACTAGTGTAGCGGTAGAAAAAATCTGAGAATGGTTTAAGTGATAAAGTATAATTGTGAGTGAAGTGCTAGGAAGCAAAGAGAAATCAGGAAACAGAAGTTTGTAAGCTGGTTTCTGGACTAATGGGGGAGCAGTAGTTAGAATTTCCTTGGGTAAGTATGCTTTTCAGATATTTGTTAATATCATTTGCAAGGTTAATCTAATTTGATTAGAAGGTTGACACACAGGGCCGGACGCGGTGGCTCACGCCTGTAATCTCAGCACTTTGGGAGGCCGAGGCGGGTGGATCACTAGGTCAAGAGATTGAGATCATCCTGGTCAACATGGTAAAACCCCGTCTCTACTAAAAATACAAAAATTAGCTGGGCATGGTGGTGCATGCCTGTAGTCCCAGCTACTCAGGAGGCTGAGGCAGGAGAATTGCCTGAACC